CAAGCAGAGAAAGACAACTATCACATGATCTCACTTATTTGTGGAATATAATGAACTAAACAAACTGATGAACAAAATTGACCCAGAGACATAGAGGTGGGTTACAGAGTGACAAGCCTGGGGGTGGGGGGGGAGGGGAGGGACAAACCACAGAACTTATATGCATGGATACATAACCAATGGACATAAACAACAAAGCTGGGGAGGAGGCGGGGGGAATGGGGAGGAGGTTGTCAAGAAGGGGAAAAGGAGAAACATCTGTAACAAAATCAAATTAATAAAAAAATAAAATCGATAACCAAACCAAAAAGAAAAAAAATATATATCTACCTCAAATGATTGCTATTATGATTAAATAAGTTAATATTTGTAAAGCACTTAAAATAATACCTTTCAGATGATAAGTCCTTTAAATGTGAGCTTGTATTACTGTAAGGTATTTAACCAGATCCCTTTTTGATACATAGCTATTTAATAGCATTAATTTAATATATGCGCTGTTTCCCATTCTTTGTCTACTGAAGAAATCTCTAAGCCAAGTTGTTTTTTTGTTGTTGTTTTTTATCCTCACCCAAGGACATTTTTCCATTTTTTGTACAGATAGAGTGAGAGGGAGAGAGAGGGAGAGAGAGAGAGAGAGAAACATCGACGTGAAAGGGACACATCGAGTGGCTGCCACCCGCACGACCAACCAGGGCCGGACACAAACTGCAACCGAGGTACATGTCCTTAGCGGGAACCGAACCCGGGTCTCTCTGGACTGCAGGCCGATGCTCTAACCGCTGAGCCAAACTGGCCAGGGCTAAGCCAAGTTTTGAATTGCCCTTAATCTCTATTACATTTGGTCTCCTGTTTTTTACTAACTTATTGATACCCAACATCTCTTTATAAGCACTTAACAAACGTGTCGTCGTGTTGTTGACTCCCTTGGAGGCTGCCCAGAACAGGAGGGGTGGGTGCATTGGCATGGCCTCTAGGCCAGATCCCAGGGAGTCCATTGCGGGTTTTCTTTCTGCAGAGAGGTCATGCCAGGAAGGCCAGTGCTGATGGTAAACTGGGGAAGGAAGCAGAAAGATTGGGATCTGAGAAGTCAAACATAACTCCCAGCTAGAGGCCTGGACTGGAACACAGCCAGAGAAGGAGTGCAGGGCAGAAACATGGCCAGAGAAAACCTGAGGACAGAGCCCTCCCTCCGAAGGATGCCTTGGGCACTGAACTTTTGAGAAAACAAGTCCAGTATACCTTCTTTGAGACGCTTCCCTATATATAGTTTTCAACAATCTGTAGATACAAAAAAAGTGATGTTAATATTAACTTCAGAACCACAAAGTTCCTTTCCCCCTTGCTCATACAGGAACTTGCCTTCCTTCTCCCTGGGTCCCTGGACCAGTTCTGGGAGTCAGGGGGCCAGGGGGTTCTCACATGAGCAAGGACAAGTTTGCTCAAGTTGCCTGCTCTGGCCTCCCTGCCAAAATGCACTGGCCAGCCACCGCCTGGGGTGCTGGAGACACTGCTGGGGAACCTGCTCCACTACTTCCTCCTCTTGCCTTCCACGCCAGGGCAGGGGCTTTGCTGTGTTCTTCGGCAGAGTAAGCTAGGATGGGATGTGGGGGCAGAGGGGAGAACCACCCATCTCCAAATCTATATCTAGACTCTCTGTGACTTTAACTCCTCCTATTTTTCTCCCAAACCTCAATCTCTGAAGTTCCCAACGTGTGCCCTGAGGCTGACTTGGGGAAAGGGGAGGAGGACAGGTATCAGCTACCCCCTCCAGTGCCCTTTCTTCCTTTGCCCTTTCTTCCTTATCTCTTTAGTCACTCAAGAACAAATATTGACTGACCATTGTAATAGACTTCATGTAAAATTCCAACTCTCTGCCCTTTGTTATGAGACATTCAGCTCCTCCCATGAAGGAGTGGAATTTCCCCACTCCCTGAATCTGGGCTGGCTAGGACTCCCAGGCTTCTGTCCCCAGTGAATTGTGGCTGCAGTGACAGTGTGTCAGTTCCAGGCCTGAGTTCCACTCCCTCCCTCGGCTCTTCTGCCAGCCCTGAGAACGGGTTAGACTGCTGGCTGATGAAAAAGAATTGCTTAGCCCATAACCACACTAGCAGAGCCCAGAAGCCTCCCCTCCCTGCACGCTCAGCCCAAATCAGCAGAGCTGGATAGATGACCTGCTTTTTCACGAGTGAAACGAGGAAGAGTAGAAGGACCCCCCAGCTAAACCACAGACTTGTGAATCAAATTGTCTGTCATTTGAAGCCATTGGGTTTTCTGGTTAATATATAACATTAGTGTGACAAAAGATGAGTGATGCAACCCCCTTTCTGATCTCCAATATCAACATTTGTTTGCACATTGAAACTCCCTTCTAAGAAGCTCAACAAATAGCTACACTTTAATTCTCCGTCTACATTGAGCCAGAACCCCTGCTGCCCTTTCAACAGTCTGTGAGAGGCCTACTGTGTGGAGATGGAGGTGTTTCCATGGAGCAGATGATCAGGGGGGCTCCGGGACAGCTGGTCAGCCTGCTGGGAGAGACACGCGTGGAGTGAGAGTGAAGGGATGTCCTACCGTCTGCACTAGGGCCACACACACCACAGTAAGCTTGTTGAGATGACTTTTCTTGTGGAAACTCTCAAGGGAGGCCAATCTCTCCATTTTGAACTGAGGTCAAATGCTGCAAGAATCAGGGGGAAGATACTGAGATGCCCTGGGCCCTAGAACTAAGGCTTCAGCCCGGTTTATCTACAACTGCTTCGTGCAGGGGAGTCTGAGTGACATGCTATTAACCTAAGCTTATCATTTGTCTCTACACATCTTTCAGTTTGCGGGTAGTCTTGTCCAATTCCAGCCCATCGATGGCTACTGCTAAGTGTCTTGACTTCCAGTGATGAGGTTCCTTCAGAGAAGCTAAGGGGAGAACAGTATTAAGTGTGTAAATGGTGGTCCCTGAGCAAGGACCCACGCTCTCTGTGGTAGGCAGTTAGGCATGAGCAGAGCAAGGATGGTGGGCCAGGTATGGAAGGCCAGCAGAGGGGAAAGCCCTCGGTGCCTAGCAACGAACAACTGTAGAGTGGATCCTCGCCCCCAGGGTAACCTTTCCTCCCCTAGCATATCGATGGTCATGCAGTTTAGACCTCGAGACTTTTCATATTGCAGGTCATGGGGTTTGGACCCTCCCCTGACCTTTCCTCCCCTAGCATGTCGCTAGTCATGTGGTAGACCCCCTTAGAGGAGGATAAAGGGGCCAGAGCATAGCCTCATATGACTCCCATACAAGCCTTTGCACAACCACTTCCTTAAGCATTAAGCCCTCAGGACAATGAGATTCTGACCCACATCAAATAATCTTAAGAACAAAGCCTTGGGTCTATTGACCATAAATACGGAATCTGGGTCAAACTAGAGATAACATCTAGGCCTCAGCTGTGTTTCTGCTCCAGGCCCAGAAAAGCAGCAAGGCCAGGAGGGGCAATGCCATGGTTGGCATCAGGACCAGCTGCATGACTGATGACCCTCCGCCCTGGTGTTGACCAATCAGTAGAGACCACAACCCTGAAAACCAGTCTAGAAAGCTGATGAATATTTTACTGAAATCCTCCCCTGGGATCTCCCCTAAGGTCTCTGACTTTAGAGAGGGGATACAAACCCTCAGGGGAAGACCCAGCCAGGCTCCCTCTCTCTCCAGCACACCCCTGCCTTGCCTCTAACTTGTTTCCTGAGTCGCCACAGCCTAGCTGGCTTACTTCTCCCATGGCTCACTTCTTCTACTTCTGTGACTTTCTAAATAAACTTTTGCTTGTTATTTGAGTCTTGGATCTGAAATCTCTCTTAGCTAGAATTCAGTTCAACCAAGGTTGCTGAACTGAGGTCCATTGCTGGTAATATTCTGGTGTCGTTTTGCTGGTAACAACTCCACTCTGCTTGCAGGGCAAGTTCTCTTTTCTCATTATAACCACCCCTCCCCCACTTGTTATTTCTAAGGACCTTAGGCTGGAGCTTGCGTACCCATGGCAGATGAATGGAGCCGGCCCACCTGACAACCCTGAATGTCCCACTGTGCTCTGCTGATGGAGATCCTTTTGAATGGGAGCTGGGAGTGGGCTCCAGTCAGAGCAAAGCTGCTCACTGTCAGCCAGTGACTGTTACAACACAACAGGCCATCAGATGGAAATCTAAGGATTAATAACTAGAACCACAGGTGCAGAGAAAGCAATAAAAAAAAAAAAAATAAGTTGCTGATGGCTGATTTCTAGTCCTGTTTATCCTTTTGAGTAAGCATCGAAAAATTCTTCTTAAGCTTAGCCTCTTGGCCATGTTGGGCTGGGAATGAGGGTTGGGTTGAGTTAGGCCCCCAGAGGTTAAAGTATCCCAGCTCCTGGGTGGCCTTTTCTAGATACTTTCCACTGTGGGTATAGTTATATAGGTGTGGTACCCAGAGCTGGGGTGAGTTAGTGCAGGAGATATATGGACTTGGTTTGTGAGCTTTAGCTCAAGAAGGGGGAGAGGGTCTGGGATCTGGCTTGGTTGTTTGCATATCAAAGATGTGCTCAACAGCAAGTTGTCTGCCATCTTTAGGAATTAGCTGACCCTGGAAGGGGCAGGCCCTCCCAGGTCCAAAAGGCCTCAACACATCCAAGCATCATGAGGTACAGAGACTGAACAACGTCACTAGCACAGCACGTTGAGAGAGTGTGCATCAGCCCCGGGAGCGCGTGGATTCTGGGGACACGTCGCAGCTTCCAGGCTTTCTCACAGGGTGACTCAGTCTCCTGCCCTCTAAGTATTCACAGAAGTCTTTCTCACCATCTCACACCAGCTCTCTTCACCCGGAGTTCCCTGCTATTTCAGTAAACAAACGGATGAAAGTCCAGGGTGGGACTTCCTCTTCAGCGTGTTTGACAAGGACTCTAGGTCCTCTGAATCCAGGAAGTCTAGGGCACACCCAACCTTGAGAGGGCAGTGTGTCCTGAGCGTGAAAAGCTGGATGCTGGAGCATAGTTTAAAAGGACAGACGCGAAACACATTTCAGCATGAGGGACCCCCTCACAAACTGTTCGGTGAGTAGCTTGCTGTGGTTTGCATCTTTGTGTGTGAGAAAGCTGCTGAGGGGTCGGTTTATGTAGGAATGTATTTGAATGTAAAGAGTTTGAGATGCTCAGGAACTAAATGTGTTTCGATATTGGCTGTGGGACAAAAATCCGTGGTTTTTCTTTGGTTCAATTCATTTTTCTAGCAAATGCCTAGGCAGGTCATTGTCATCTTCTATTCTCATATTCTTAGAAAAACCCAGAGTGGGTACATTTGCATGCAGATGGTGGCTGTGTAGAAAAAATTCTTAAGGCACACGCCAGTGGTGCCCACAGACACGCAGAATTTCTGCAGCCAGTTCTGGGCTCTGAGAAGGGATTTAGGGTGGAAGATTTTTGCATATTTTCTCATATCTTTTAGAAAGTCAAGAATTGCCAACTCCTGCAGGAGGAAGGCTAGACTCCCCATTCTGTCCAGCCTGTTGTAGTTCTCAGACAGGTTTACCAATATGTTTGTTCAGCCCTGGGAGCGTTACCAAAAATAGAATGGGAGTCAAAAGTCCAAAGACTTGTGAGGTGTTAGCAGCACTAACAGGGATGTAATTTACAAAATAAGGAACAACTGAAATAAAGAGGAGGAAGATATATTACTTTGGAAATAAAGTAATCAAGGACTGCCATTGTGTTATCCCAATCTGGGGCCAAGAAGCAAAAATCGCTAAAAACAGAAGCAAGGGGCCTTTCAAGTATTTTATTTTAAAAGTAAAACTGCGGAAAAGCAGATAAATAGGACTGCAATCGAGCCATAGAAAAGCCCACTGGATGTGGAGAGCACAGGCTTAGAGAAGGACCTGTAACTGCTGCTCCACAAAATGAGTTCAGGAGTCAGATCTGAGAAATGAGATGACATCGTAATGGCTAGTAATAGTAATAATGACAATACAGTAGCAGCCTCTGCCTGCTTTTACTTTTTAAATGCAAAAGTAATGTCTAATGTAAAAAAAACAAAAGCAATATGGTTGTATATAGATTTGAAGAAAGAAACCCTTCCCCTTTAATTTCCTCCAATCTTTTGCACAGATAACTTTATATATATATACATATATATATACATACATATATATATATGTATGTATATATATATATGTTTTATGGATTTTTTAGAGAGAGAGATAGAAACATTAATGTGGAGAGAAACATCAATTGGCTGCCTCCTGCACGCCCCCCACTGGGGATTGAGCCTGAAACCTGGGCATGCGCCCTGACTGGGAATTGAACTGGGACCTCTCAGTCCACGGGATGATGCTCAATCCACTGAGCCACACCGGCCGGGCACAGATCATTTTTTTAAAGTTTTTTTTTATGGTTTATCTACTTGCCATTTGTTTATTTTATCTCCTTGCATTTGCTCCCTTCTAAAATGTTAACTCCTTTCTCACCATTAACAGTTTGATTGTGTTGTTGCATGAGGAGGGTTGAGTGGGACAGGGGCTGGATTCCTAGAGGAAAAACCTGGCACCAACAGCTACCAAAGATGACAATAAGACCAAGGGAAGAGTGAGATAGAAGAGAGGGACACTTAGGCCTGACTAAGTTAAAAAAATAAGCTGAAATCCTAACATCCTTTCCTAAGGCTGCCTTTAGCCCAGAGGCGAGGAGAAATGTATTCTTTTGAGCAGCCCCAAGACCACCCGTAACCACATCATTGTGCGTCTAATGCTCCCTCCCTGACATGCTGAAGAGCCCTTTTCCTGACGTCCAACCATTGACCCAAGGACTCCTACCTTTCCTCTACCTTGAAGGTCATTACCTCTATGGCCCAGTGCCACCAGAAGTGGTCTGGGAGTCCAGAGGAAGTGGCTGTCCCATCAGGGATTCTCAATCCTCCCCAGCCATGGAGGCTTTATTCATGTGCTTCATCTTCTTCAAGAGTCCAACTCAATTTCCGGGTGCAGTCTTTGCGTATGCTTGGGGCACAGTCCTGTGCCAAGATGAGGCTGCAGTTTGGGAACAAAATGAAACATAGGGATGGGTTTTGTTACTATTAATGCATTTTGTTAAGTAAACGAATGCTGTATGAAACACTTGGATAGTTTTATAAAAGAACCCAAAGCTTTAACCATGTGCAAAATGTCCCATTCCATGAGTGCCAAGGGCTGCACAGAACACGGTTAATTCATACAGCCTTAGCTTGGCTGCAGTTCTTAACCCAGTCTCCCCCAGTGGTCCACGTATCCAAACCAGCGGGTTGCATGAATTTCAATGAGAAAAACATGATCTTTTTATTTGCACTAGTTTATAACTGAAATTTTGAATTTCCTTTAATTTTGAATATAAGCAGTAACCCAGTACCACCACTGAAGTGTCTGCCACTTTATAACCAAGAAAAATCACATATATTTTATATGATATTAAAAGTTGTTCGCAAATATCTAGAAATATTGTTCACACTCAATGTAGTTTAGAAGTTTGGGTAATTCTTAATTAAAAAGCACACATAATAGCATGATTTTAAAATGTTTATATCTATCTATCTATCTATCTATCATCTATCTATCATTAGTTTTCTTTGTAATCCTATTATTTTATTTTATACATTTGAAAATACTATTTTGAATAAAATTGGCCTCATCAGACCACCAAAGGGACCATGATACAAAAAAAAAAAAAGTTTAATCTCTTATTTAGGTTATGCTTCAACGGCGGACAACCTAGGCCTAGAGCTGAGCCATTCAACCTCAAAGCGCTGGGGCAGTGTCTGTGATCAAATTAGCCAACTGGGTAGCACGAAGATGGTCTAAACACTGTGTGTGGCTTTGACCTCATCGTGAGGTATCAGAGCTTCTTTGAAGAAGATTTTTTAAGTTCTGTTTTTGAAAAGGGAAAGAATTGCCCCTGAGGCTTGATGCCTGCATCCCGGTGAGTTTAGCTTCTAACCCTAAAAGTAGTGCCAAGTGAAATCATTTTTAAACCCACGTTCAAGGAAATAAACAGGATCGAATTATCTCCAAATGAAATATTCTAATCATTAAAAAAAAAAAAGTAGTGCCTTCCTATGAAACAAAGCCATAGAATTCCAGGGCACACAAAAAGCTGTAAGCAAGGTTTCTTTCACTCACTCCCGCAGTGTGTAGGAGGGACCTGTCCAAGCAGGCCTTCCGGGATCCATGCAGTCAGACCCTCCCCTAATTTCATCAGCTGGTGAAACAGCACCAGGCTGCAGGGCTGTTCCTCCAGCCTGGTTCACATGTCAACCTGAGCTCCCATCTTGGTGGCTCAGCCTGGGTCACAGATGTTGCCAGCACTGGTAGGAAAAGTGCTGCTGTTGCAGTGGTCCGCGGCTCCTGGGGTGCTGCTGTTGCAGTGGTCCGCGGCTCCTGGGGTGCTGCTGGTGCAGTGGTCCGCGCGCAGCTCCTGGGGTGCTGCTGGTGCAGTGGTCCGCGGCTCCTGGGGTGCTGCTGGTGCAGTGGTCCGCGGCTCCTGGGGTGCTGCTGGTGCAGTGATCCGCGGCTCCTGGGGTTCTGCCGCCCTGCAGAGGTGGGGAGGCAGGCTGGGTCTGGGATGGACGGCCTGTGGCCTAGACCACCTCGTGTGTGCATCAGTGAGAGGTGTGACACGCCCTTCCACACTTCCTGGGCCTCTGTTCCTCGTCTGTAAAGTAGAAGGGGGAGAGGATGAAGTCGGTGTGCTCTGGAAAGTCCATCTGTGACAGCCTGAGTTCCAACATTACACAGATGCCGAATAAACGTGAGTCATCCCCCAGTGAGAGGGCAGTGCCTTCAACTACTACCTCACAGGAGGGCACTAGCACAGAGCCCGGCATGTGAAAGGCATCCAGCAAATGCTTGCTTAATTAGATTGAAGTGGACTATCATGGTTTATTAACACTATGAGTGTCATCATTATCAAAAAATAAATACACCATTTGGACAACTACATGTAAAAAATGAAACTAGACCATCAACTTACACCTTACACAAGAATAAACTCAAAATGGATAAAATACTTCAATGTGACTCATGAATCCATAAAAATCCTAGAAGAAACTGTAGGCAACAAAATTTCAGACATCATATGCAGCAGAATTTCCACTGATACATCACCTAAGGCAACAGAAACAAAGGAGAAAATGAACACATGGGACTACATCAAACTCAAAAGCTTTTGCACAGCAGAAGATACAATCATCAAAATGGAAAGGCTACCCACTGTATGGGAGCCATAATTGCCAGTGATATATCTGATAAAGGGTAATTTCCAATATATATAGAGTGCTCATACAACTCCACAAAAGGAAGACAAAGAACCCAATTAAAAAATGGGTAGAGGAACTAAATAGACACCTCTCCAAACAGGACATACAAATGGCTAAGAGACATCACTAATCATCAGAGAGATGCAAATTAAAACAACAATGAGGTATCACCTCACACCTGTCAGAATGGCCGCCATCAACAAATTATCAAACAACAAGTGTTGGCGAGGGTGTGGAGAAAAGGGGACTCTAGTACACTGCAGGTGGGAATGCAGACTGGTGCAGCCGCTATGAAAAACAATATGGTGTTGCCTCAAAAAGTTAAAAATTGAACTTCCATTTGACCCAGTGATCCCACTTCTAGGAATGTACCCTAAGAAGCCTGAAACACCAATTAGAAAGAATATATGTACCCCCATGTTCATAGCAGCACTATTTACAATAGCTAAGATCTGGAAACAGCCGAAATGTCCATCAGTAGACGAATGGATAAAATAGCTGGAACTAAATAGACACCTATGCACAATGGAGTACTATGCAGCTGTAAGAAAGAAAGATCTCTTATCTTTTGGGACAACATGGAGGGACCTGTAAAGTATCATCCTGAGCAAAACAAGCCAAACAGAGAAAGACAAGTATCATATGATCTCACTTATTTGTGGAATATAATGAACATAACACTCTGAGGAGTGGGGTAGTCCCAGAGACGTGGAAGTGGGGTACAGAGTGACAATCCCCAAGAGAGAGGGTGTGGGGGGAGATATAATAAACCACA